ATGTACAGTCTTTCATCAGCAACATACAGTCTCTCGGCAGTGACGTACAGTCTCTCGGCAGTGATGTACAGTCTATCGTCGGTGACGTACAGTCTCTCGTCGGTGACGTACAGTCTTTCGTCAGTGACGTAGTCTCTCGTCAAGTTTATAACCACTTTTTAATTTATTTTTTACTTATAGGAATTTTCTCTAATACAACATATTTTTTTAGAACACATTCTACTAATTGTTGATCATACTGGTGTTTCTCATAAAGGTTATTTTCCAGTGATTCAGCAATAAAACAGCCGATTTTTGAGTGTTTTGGAAGTAACGACATGCTCAATTTTTCTTTAAAGCCAGTTTCATTAATATTATTGATTATAATTTTTTATAATAACTTAAATTATAATTATTACTTGTTCACATATACGAAGATTATTTTCTTACGTTGTTAACTAACAGTATGCGGATTTAAGTCTCAAATCTTGTGAGAAGTTACCGTTAACAATAAGGGTTACCTAACTGACGAATCAATGCATTTTAATTACTGTTGGTTTCAGTTTTCTTATGTATTGATTTAAACTTAGTTATTTCTGTTCAATGTGATGAGGAGGGAAGACTTCGATAACCAGTTAGTTCTGTGTAGTATTTGTTTAATCAGATGTTATAAAAAAAGCAGTGATAGAAAGTAAATACAAAAGAAGTATACCGGGTTTTTCAACACAAAGAAACTTTACAACCAATGAAATTTTACATAAAGTATGTTTCCTGAATTACATTTAAAAATAAACCAATAACTTAGTGGTGATTTGTTAAGTAATTACTTATACGACAATATTTTTGAACTTGATATAATATAATTAATTAATACCTTTTATTAATAGACATTCTGTGTATGCCAACAGCATATTCTCCATACCTGTCCCTGTATTAACAGACATTCTGTGTATGCCTACAACATGCTCTCTATACCTGTACATATCAAAGGTTTCACATGAGGAAAAACATTCATTTATGATCACTGCATCCCAACTAAATCTTTAGCCTGAATGTAGAACTGATGAGGATATTTTGCTCTAGGTTTTCCATTTCTTTATCTGCAAAAACAATAAAAACTCAGGATGAGGAAAGTCAACAAGAAACTATTATACATATGAATGGAATGAATACACTACAAAATTGGGATGATTTATCATATTTTAAGGTTTAACACTGAGTACTTAACTAAAAATACAGAAAAGTTTTTCGTACACTATCTCGTACATGATTTAGGTCAAAATTTTCTAACTCCACAACTGACAACGAGTTGTTTTTATTATGTTAAAATCAACTGAAGATGTAATAACTGGTTTCAGTGTTTCTTACTTCAAACAACTCAGTCTAAGATCTAACCATCAAATATTTATGCAACATTCTTCTAAATATTACTTAAACAAAAGTTACATCTTACAGTCTGCTCTGAAAACTGAGTAGTTACATGTATACTGACCAATAATGCTTTATCGTAAGGACAGACACTGAGGTTGACACGGATTAAGTAGTTACATGTATACTGACCAATAATGTTTTATCGTAAGGACAGACACTGAGGTTGACACGGATTAAGTAGTTACACGTATACTGACCAATAATGTTTTATCGTAAGGACAGACACGGATTAAGTAGTTACATGTATACTGACCAATAATGTTTTATCGTAAGGACAGACACTGAGGTTGACATGGATTACACTAGAATGTGACAGTTGTTGACGGTGTCTGGTGATAATTTCAATACGGAGTCGGTCAATGTGACGACCTCGTAACCATTTTGTGTTTTTTATAGTTTTCGTGCTACAACTTGTAAATTAGTAAGCGAATGTTAAATTTTGGCAGATTATCAGTAAACATTACAATGCTTTCATACGTAAAATATCAATGTTTTTTATTAAGTCTTAAGGTTTATAAAGTAAAGTTTCTCTCATTCCTTTTTATTTTATTTTTGCAGGTTGCCTATCTATCATGCAAAGAAATTTTCATTTTAAGATTAAAAATACTTTTATGTATCAGAAAATTTTGAAATTTCACATGTGAAATATTTATAATGTCGAGATAGTTATCAAATGTTTCTTAAGAAAAAACTTTATATTTTATCTGTTATTTTTAGTAATTAATCTGTGTAGGGGTTCGGGAGATTTGAACAATCTCGCAACCACCATAAACATTAGGAAATAAATATAAATTATGCCTCTTTCATTC